TATTTCTTTCAGGACTAACTGTAATAACACGGGTCTCTAAAATATCGCAACAGTCTCGAGGTAATATTATACTACCGTTACACTTGAAACAAACGTGTATTCAAGGAAATCGGAAAATTTAATTGCAACCATTTACATTACGTCGCTCTGCGTATCAAAGACACGTGAAAATGCATCAGTTTTACGTCTCGTTTACTCGAAGTCCTCGGAATGTCAAAAAGACGTCGAGTTACGCGTTGTTCGAGACAGAAGGAGTAATAATTGCATGAGTGAGTGAGTGAGTTACAATTTAACGTCGCATCGGCATTATTTCAGCCATATAGCAACATGATTGCAAGAGGTTTGCATGGTTTCCGCCCGACAATGCATGTCAGGGTTTTACCGTTAGAGACAATAAATACATCTCTAATCGTCATATTACTTACTTAGTCCGAAAATGAACATCACTGGCGTGCGTTAAACGAGATGAAATGCGAGAAACAATGTACCAGTTTAAAATAAAGCGGCAATCATAAGAAATATCTGCTAAAAGCAGAGGCGAGGGTACAATTCCGTCTATATCATAAGCTGGTGTGTTATGAATTACTGTCAAATTGTAATGAAACCAGGTGTTCGCAGAAAGGCGAGCGTGTCATACCATACTGGTGGCAACCGTCTCAAACACATGCAACGGCAAGTCAATTGTTCACCTGAACAAACCCCACGGGAACACCTGGTGCAAGTCAAAACAGGGAATTGCATCGAAACTGGTGTGCTCGTGTAGTGTTAGTGTTGTTTTAGTGTTGAGTTAGTGTTACGTTGGTGTTGTTTTAGTGTTTTGTTCGTGTTGTGTTGCTGTTGTGTTAGTGTTAAGTTCGTGTTGTGTTAGTGTTGTGTTCGTGTTGATTTAGTGTTATGTTCGTGTTGTGAAGGTGTTTGTGTTGTGTTCGTGTTCTATTAGTTTTTGGTTAGTGTTGTGTTCGTGTTCTTTGTTCGTGTTGTTTTCTTGTTGTGTTCGTGTTTGGTAAGTGTTGTCTTCGTGTTGTGTTAGCGTTGTGATGGTGTTTTTTTGTGTTAAGCCCGTGTTGCGTTAGTGTTGTATAAGTGTTGTGTTAGTGTGTTTTTTGTGTTGTGTTTGTGTTAAGTTCGTGCTGTGTTCGTGTTGGGTTAATGTTGGGTAGGTGTTTTGTACGTGTTGTGTCAGTGTTGCTCCACAGCGTCTGTTAATGCATTGGTACGATTGTTTCTTCATCTTGTAAGTGATGGAGTGGGAGTGGGGAATATGTCACAAAACTTTAGGCAGTTAAGTTTTTTATCCGACATCGAACTTTTGAGGTGCTCCCTTAGTAACAACCGCTGTTAACACAAACGCATGAAATGATCATTGAACAAAGACGTGTATATATGTAAATCATTTATCCTCCAATGTAAAGTGGTCGACATGGTCTCTATTCAGATTGTGAGCGAGTAAGCAAGCGAGTGTCTATCATTCAGATATCGTACGTGCCATAACACTGTTACATAAAATTAACTGACCATGTAAATGTCAAGGTGCAATGGAAGCCTAGTCTGGCCACCTTCCCACTCGAGTACAAAGCGTTAAAACCCGAATCGACAGATGTTGATATTGGTGGGATCTAATTCGTTTTATTTTTGTGTTCCTGTTATTTTTATCCTACCAAGATAGCCCTTTCTCACGACCACTTGGAAATAAATGGGTAAAATAAAAATGCAAGATAAATATACTGCCAATTGTCAAAAACAATGTGCAACCAATGATCTAAGTAGCCATGTCAACGTAAGACAGAAATCTTTGAAAACCGGAAGTACGTGTTTACGTCTGCCATGTACAAAACTTGTACCGGAAATTATGTCGGAAGAGGAGTTTTCCCATGACCATTGTTCCGACATTTGTAGGTCACCTTCATTAAAGTATGGCGATTTTAATTCAATTTTATTGTAAGAGATATGTCTGTGATAAAAATATGTATAAATTTCAGCATATGTTCCATTTGATGTTGAAATATATTCGACGTTTTTTATGAATGCCGGTATTGCTTTATGAAGACACGGGGTAATTGTGTTCGAGATTGTTCTGGGTTTTTCACATGGTATGACCACTTCACCAGAATTGTTTGCTTGCCCAAAGTCTTCCTTCCTCCTGTCTCTCTGCTCGTATCGTTTAAGCCAAGCCACCTCTCTCTCACCCTCTCTCTCTCTCTCTATCTCGCTCTCTCTCTTCTCTCTCAATCTCTCTCTATCTCTCCCCTCTCTCCTACTCTCACACACACTCTCTCTCTTCTCTCTCTCTCTCTCTCTCTCTCTCTCTCTCGCTCTCTCTCTCTCAGTATACTATGTCTGAGTGGGGTATTCATGTTAAACTGCGGCATGGTATCTCAGTGGGCTAGTACAAGCAGCCACACACACACACACGCACACACACACACACACACACACACACACACACACACACACACACACACACACACACACACACACACACACACACACATGCATGCATGCACGTCGCTATGTAAGTGCAATAATCTTGGACGCGACGTTAAATCCCATTTCACCTCACCTCACCTCACCTCACCTCACCTCACCTCACCTCACCTCACCTCACCTCACCTCACCTCACATCTCACAGGTTTCAGTTAAAAGTCTGAAGTTTTTACACCCAAACATGGTTATTATTTTCCGTGATATGATTGATATAACCAATTGACAAACCCACTTAGAAACAATTGTGACTCCACCGATATACGTCTATAGGTTGATACAGGCCAGCACTGTATGAACAAGCGGTGAGGTGAGATACGACTATAACATAAAATCAACGAGTCCTAAACAGTGTCACTGCAATGGTTACAGATTTTCCGGCTCACGGAAACAGCCGAGTTCAGTGTTGGCATATGTTGGACTCCAGACATCAATATGTTGTCGGGCCAACTCTTTCTCATGTCACAGTCACACACACGAATCCAGGGATAAACATCAAAGTCAAATTTCTCATGAATGCATACCGCAAACATACACATGCATGTCAAGCGCTTATCTGATTTGTTGAGATAAGCAAATGTTCGTGCTTACCCATGCATTTCCCATGATTATGTAGAGCACGATATATTTTCTAAGTAGTTTGCCTGCATAACAGACATACGTATTTTGAAGGATATGGATTATTTGAAATCATTTCGTTAGAACCCAGAAACAATTGATCATTTCGAAAGTCATTTTTGGCTATTGTGAGATCTTGACACATGGACGAACTCGAACCCCAAACACAGGACACATTGATCTAAGCAGGCTAAGCAAGGCTTAATCAAAGACCTGCTTGGTTCGAGTACAAATGAGTGAGTGAACACCGATTCGAACGGTAGCCCAGTTGTAAGGTGAGGTGAAATTGGGTTTAACGTCGCGTCCAAGATTATTGCACTTATATAGCGACGTGCATGTACGTGTATGTGTTTGTGTGGCTGCTTGTACTAGTCCGGACTGATGCCGATTTATAGTGCTAGCTCACTGAGATACCATGCCGCAGTTTAACATGAATACCCCACCCAGACACAGTATACTGACTCCGAGCCGACCAGTCCTTGTTTTAGCCCCTTAATGCCGAGCGCCAGACAGGGTAACAACAAGTGCCATCTTTTAACGTCTTTTGGTATGACGCGGCCGGGGATCGAACCCCGGACCTTCCGCTCTCCGGGCGGACGCTCTACCAGTAGCCCTGTTGTATCACGGCGTGTGAGCTTAATGTGGAGGGAAAGTACGAAGTGATGAAGGCTTAGGCGTTTACCACTTTGATGAAACCCACGTGCATGGGTAATCACAGGTTTCTGGCGTGCCCAAGGGACGTAAATCTGCATGTAGAAGTGCGGCGTCTTCGACGATTGGACGATCCGTACACCCGGTTCAGGTATGATTTAACACAAACTCGGCCAGTGCAGTCTGTAATTGACTGATAGGGAAAATAACTAAGGATTTATTACCATTGCGTTTAAAGCTTCTTATTTCATCAAGATAAGACCACGGATACGATGTGGAAATGACCGTTGCGATTATCTGTGCAGGGTAGCGTCCCTTAGTTCGAAATACAGATTGGCTCCGGTTATTGTACTTGGCCTGTAAGCACTGTTATCCTGAAGCGATAAACTGTGAGACCTTCATCAGTTCTAAATTTCCTTCCACAATAAGCCGACACACCATGACACATCACAGGAATACTGTTAAAATCGGTGTTAAACCCAACTCTCCCCTCTCTCTCACTCTCACTCTCTCTCTACGCGCTCTCTCTCTCTCACTCTATATCTCCCTCTCTTCCCTCTTTCACTCTCTCTCTCACTTGCTCTCGCTCCCTCTCTCGCTCTCACTATCTCTCTCTTGTCTCTCTCCCCTCTCTCTCACTCACTCTCTCTCTTCCCATCTCTCTCTCTTCTCTCCTCCCCTCTCTCTCGCTCTCCTCTCTCCGTCCTCTCTCTCCTCTTCTCTTCTCTCTCCCCCTCACTCACTCTCGCTCTGCTTCTCTCTCGCTCCTCTCTCTCTCTATCTCTCCTCTCTATCTCTCTCCTCTCTCTCACTCTCACTCTTGTTCCCTCTCTGTCTCTCTCGCTATCTCGCCCTATCTCTCCCCCTCTCTTCCCTCTCTCTCCCTTTCCATCTCTCTCCTCTCTCCTCTCTCATTCTTCTCTTCTCTCTCACTCTATCGCTCTCTCTCTCTCTATCTCCCCCTCTCTCTCACTCTCGCTCTCTCTGTCGCTCTCTCTCTCACTCTCTCTCACTCTTTCGCTCTCTCGCTCTCTCTCACTCTCTCTCTTTCGCTCTCTCGCTCTCTCACTATCTCTCTAACTCCATCTCTCCCTCGCTCTCGCTCTCTCTCACCGCTAGTCTCGATTACCCACCGTCATGATTCCATTGGGCAATTGCCATATGACTCTAGACTTAAGGTGTGTTAGTTTTTAGGTTTTTTTCAAGATTCTTGGAAACAGACTGGCTATGTCCTAGAAGAATCTAACACA